AACGTCTTGGCATCAGAAGCTGTCACTTATGAGCTGGTCTATCATCTTTTACAGTGATGGTGCAGCAGCATTGGTGGTAGTGAGTGGGGAGAAAGCTCTCAAGCTTGGTTTGCAAGTAATTGCTAAGATAAGAGGATACGCTGATGCTGCTCAGGTGCTTTAGATAATATCCTTTATATTTGTCTTGCACTGCCTTCAAATTATTCTGAAGAATCCGTTCTTGCCAGGCACCTGAATTATTTCCAACTGCCCCAGCCCTTGGAATACCAAAAGCTATTTTGAATGCTGGTTTGCAGACTTCTCAAATTGATTACTATGAAATAAATGAAGCTTTTTCGGTATGACAATATGCTGTGACTATTTTCTTCTGCCATTATCTTATTCATTATGTGTTCCACAGTATGTTCTTTTTCCTCTATGCACGTCGTGGTTCTTGCCAATCAAAAACTGCTTGACCTTAATCCTGTAAGGCTTGGTTATCTTCTATAACATGATGTAGATGTTTCTTTCCTACAATCTATGACTGACTTGTTTTCAGCTGCCTCATTGTGTTTTTATACTATTTACTTGCTTCATATGATTTTCCACTGTACATCTTACTATTCCAAACCTTTATTAAATGCAGGAAAAGGTTAATGTTCATGGTGGAGCTGTATCTTTGGGACATCCATTAGGATGCAGTGGAGCTTGTATATTAGTCACATTGCTAGGGGTAACTAAAAGAGCTTAACTTTTTAATGTTTTCTCTCATTACCTTATACTTCCTTTTCTAGTAATTTGAGCAAATACAGCTGCACATTCCCTCAATCCTCTATGTTACTTGCCATATGTATGTTGAAACTATTATTCATGATAGCTTGGGCTCTGTTTAGTATAGTTGTGGTTTTTAGTTTTGGTTTTCGTAAATTTTGCAACAATTGAAAACCAAAACTAAAATTCAAAAACTAACTACTTGTTTAAGATGAGTTTTAGCACTAACAACAAAAAATATAAACTTCTTTAATAGTATTAAAATTATTTTTGTTCTTATTTCTCTAATAACCATGACAATATGTTGGAAAAACATATGAAAGTAAATGAGTTTTTTGTATAGAGTTGCAAAATTTATAAAAATCAAAACCAAAAATCACAACTATACTAAACGGAGCCTTAATAAATTAGTTGATTGCTTATCTTTAAAGGATGGAGAACACCTCAAATCAATATTGCTATCATGCATTTGTTTTCTTTCAGAACCATCTCCATCAAGTTTCATTATATCACAGGTCCTGAGGCATAAGAATGGGAAGTTTGGGGTTGATGGAATCTGCAATAGAGGAGGAGGAGCCTCTGCTCTTGTCGTTGAACTCATGTAAGCCCTCTAAATTCTGCCACATGTATGCTAATTTACTTGAGAATGTCATGATCAAATACATCACTGTCATATAGCCTGTAGATGCGAACTTTCTGTTCTGTATTCTTAGTGAACTTCTTGCGTTTAAACGAAAGAAATCTAGTTTCAGTTCTATCAGCTATTTGCAATACTTGATTATTCATTGGCATCTTGCCACATTGACTCAATGTGACTCCATTCAATAATATTTGGAAAACTTCATTGCTGGATGGTAATTGATACATGTTAGCTGTTCAATGCAATAGTTTCATTTGACCATAAATCATGGAAAAGAAGACTGCCCCAAGAGAATGTTGTCCAAAGGAAAAAAAAAGGTACATGTCTATCTTCAACTAGAAAATTTATAATTTAATGTTTAAACTTACCCAAAGTGCAATTTCCATATTTGCATTCCATAACCTGTGATAACTCATTTTTTGCAGGCCAGCTGCAAGGGTGGGATGTTCCAAGTTATAAAGATAATTTGCATTCTCCATTATCGTACCATCATTCAGTTCTTTCTTTCCTTTTTCCAATGAAGGGAATAATAAGTATTGAGTATGTATCAAACATTACAAAGATATAAATATTGTTACCTCTTGATCTTACCACCTTTGCGCACTTCTGTTTAGCTTCTGTTCCCTCTTTATGCTCGGTTCTTTGGTACATGGGTTGATATTTAAATTCCAACGTCTTAAGCTAAGAGAAGGTTTGTATGAAGAATCATAGGATTGAATATAGGCTGCAGCAAATTTGAGATTGTGGAAAGATTAAATCAGTTGTTCTACAGGAATTATCATTTTAGTTCCAAAGCTTGTTCAAGTGTTGCAGTTCCTCCTTTCATGCGAAAGCTAAGTGTACAAAGAGACGGGGGTCTTATTAACCTAAAACATTTGATGTGGGAGCAGGCACCTTTTTTTTTATCTTAACATATGATTAGAGTAAGTTAGTACATGGCTATACTGCTAGCTAACAGAGCGAAAATGATTGAGAAGAGTGTTACTGAGGGAGGCATGCTGCCACTGTCCTTACGAAAGAACAGCCCTTTGTACACAGGCAGGTTTAGGCAAACCAAGAGGCCACTTAGAAGCATCTGCAAAGCAAGTAGGTCCAAGGTCTTGTTATCGACGATAACCCTTTTTATTGCCCCAATGCAGCTGAGCAAGTTGAGCATAGCCAGTGTTGCTATAATGTTAAACATGGGTGATTTCGTGCCAAATTCCATGACCTCTTGCTCATATCTCTGAGACACATCCTCATCCACCACCTTTTCTGTTACGGTAAATGTTGCCTTAGATAATCCCAGTAGCTCCAGGACAGTGCTAAGGAAGCCAAATAAGTATGATGTTGTTCTTTTGAACATCCAAATCCTTTGCTCATTCCACCACCCCTGCAATGTGCCTCCGCAGCTTAGAAATTCCCACAGGCTGTATGCTCGGTTTGCGAGGACCACACAGGGAAATGGTAGGACCCAAGGGCTTGATATCTGATGATTTGTTAAAAAATTCATTCAATTCTTAGAAACTTAATGATTAGTTGGGATTCATAAATAATTTTGGATTTTGTGAAGATGAAATCCATACCTGTGGAAATAAAGCTTTGCCTTTGAGGAGGCAAAGGGATGGCACAACAACATAGTATAGCATAGCCAAACTGTTGGGAGCCCATAGATTGTAGGGAACGTATGAAAGTTGAAGTTTCAGAGGGATCCTTTTATGTCCATAAACCAAGGGGCAGTATTTAGATAGGAAAATCTGAAATTGTCCTTCAGACCATCTCTTGTGTTGTATTAGGTTCTGCATAAGAGTGGTGGGAGCAACGCCTAAGAAGGCCTTCCTTTCTGGAATGAAGTAGACGGATTTCCAACCTCTGCATTGTATAGACAGTCCTGTGATTATGTCCTCTACTGCACAGCCATATTTCAAACCCATCTGCAAGTCAACTTTATTGTCATCAATCATGTGAAAAAAACACACTGCAGAGAAATATATATGCATCTTTGCGTTCACTTCTTATAGAAAAATAGTTACCTCCTTCCCCCACTCTGTGTTCTGCTCAAATGCACAAGTTGCAAGAGATTTGCATGATTCTTCCAGGGCACTAGAACTTTCTTCGCTGTTCCTATTGTTCTCTGATCTCCATTCAGCCTTGAATTCCTTGCTGTACTTCTTCCCACAAAGTGTCTCTCTCCGGTGAAAGCATCCTGTTCCAATATAGCAAGGCCCTCCATTGCCGTCAAATCCCGGGTGTTCCACCTTCATTCAGGTGTATACATCAAAACATTATCTCGTTATAAGCCTTGGATATTCTAAAATTCAATTCATCATTTACTTTATTAACTCCGGCTCACCTCCATTAGTACTCTCAGGGAATTGCCGTAGATCTCATTCTGAGTGATGTTATCGAAGTTCTGTGGATATTGCACGTAAGCAATCTCATGCCCTTTCTCTTGATCCAGAAAAAAGCAGAGAGCATCTCTGATTGATTCAGAATTATTTGAATACATGTCGCAGTCAACATTAAGAATTACCGGTCCATCGCTTATCTTTGAGGACACCCTTATCTATCAATTCATTGTGGAAGATAACATAACGATATCAAGGATAACCTCATCACAATCACAAATTAACAGTACAAGATATATATCTAGATAACTAATTACCAAAGCATTCAGTGCTCCTGCTTTGAAATTATGGTGATATTGAGGCCTCTTTTCACGTGCCAAGTATACCAGGGTTGGCAAAGCTTGTCCTTGAACATCCAAGGCTTCTGGATCTCTTCCATCGATTAATATCTACACAAATTAAGCAGGTAATTTTTGTTACTTATATATATATGTATATATATACAAGAGATCCATTTTTATTTAATGATTTAAGTTGTGTAATTAAAACAGTAAAATATGGATTGTATTAGCTAGGACATAGATTTAAAATTTGTCAGGATCTCTTCTTTTTCTTTGGAGGATTTATCAAATAAATGTAAATATTTCTTACTTGAAGAATGGTCTGGTGGTCTCGTCTGCTCGAAACCAAGTCCCACTCACAGAATCCTTTGTGTTGTTGACGCAGGTTATTTGAAACACTGCCAAACTTTGTCGTGGTCTCGATACGAATCTTCATGTCTTCATATAATTTCTACTATCATACATATGTAGCAAATCATTTATGTTCTTCATCATCAGTAATTGGCAGTACAAGAATGCAAGCATAAAAGCGTCAACATTTTAAGTGTCAACTATGAAATATTGACGTAATTATATGTTATTTGTGTCAACATTACTCATGCAAAAAAAGTTTATCGCAGAAAAATTTTTTAGTGTCAACTAAAAAATATTAGTGTAAGCATTGTTGACACAATTAGGGTCAAAAGTCTACCACAACCCACTCTATTGTAGTCAACATTTCAGAAAATTTATAAAAATGAAAAAAAAACTACTAGACAAATAATATCTTATTGATGCAAGCATAAAAGCGTCAACATTTTAAGTGTCAACCAAGAAATATTGACACAAATATATGTTATTAGCATCAACATTATTCATGTAAAATAAGTTTGTCGCAGAAAAATTTTTCAATGTCAACTAAAAAATATTAGTGTAGGTGTTGTTGATGCAAATATGGTCAAAAGTCTGACATAACCCAGTCCATTGTAGTTAACATTTCAAAAGATTTATAAAAATCGGAAAAAGCTACTAGACGAATAATATTTTACTGATATAGTACTTTTTCATTATACCATATTCTTCAAACTTCAGAGTTGTTTTAGTGGAGCTATGGGGGTCAACAACTCTTTACATTGCATCAAAACACATGTTGGTACAAATTATTGGTGTTGCCTTTCAAAACTAGATTTGGATTTTCTTATCTTGCATTTTGTTGAACATCTTGTTTACTACTACTCCTTTCTCTTTCACGAAAGCAATGGGGGATGGCAAGTTTATCTTAAAGTTCAAGCATATTTATTGAAGTTCAATCTCACAAAGGAGATAAAAAAGCAAGAAAATCATTTCTTTAAAAGTTTTTTTATTTTTTTTCT